CCTTTTTCTCTGCCTTTGTATCTGTCTGCCTCTTTTACATCTGTGAATCGCTCTTCTGTGCCCCACCCCTCGACTTTCTGCTACTTTGATGAACCTTCCCTCTGTGAAGCCCGAAGTCAATTAAAGGGCTAATAATAGCAATCAAAACGACTGCCATTTGAAATAAATAAAATTGTGACCGAAATGATCAGGAGATCTCCAGTACCCCATTCACAAGGGGAGCCACATTTTGTTATCCCCTCTACCCAATATAAATTCATGAAAACCCTTAGCCCGTCAAGTTACAGTTCTATTAACAAAATGACTTGATGATCATGCTAGAATTTTACAAACACCAAGAGCGCTATTCCGATGGAATCATGCAAACAAATAACTCTAGAGTGAAGATGTATAAAGTAAGGTTTAACTTAATATTTGCACTAAATAAGATAACAAACCTGCCAAACACAATCTAGAAAGAGGAGGAATATGGGAGAGGCTTCCTTCAATTGATCACTGGGTTGAGTCAGGAGTCTTGAACAGCGTCTTGCGAATGGATGTCCTGCAGCTACCCAATCACGATGCACCAGAGCCGCAAATCTAAGCAAATAATTTTAGTTAAAAATAGAATACCAATTTGTGCAATTCATTTTTATTCAGTTACAAATACTCCCTCGTGTGGGTTAAAATGAACCAACATTTAAGGTCACTGACTTAACGATATTTTGATAACTGGTTCGGAAGCAATTGAACAATCAATCAATCTTAATTTAATTTCTTTAGCAAAATGAATAATACCGAAAGCATAACAATCTTCGGGCTACACAAAGCACTTTCTTGTTCTATTATTTTTTAAAAAATATTTGAGTGCATGTTTTTAGTGCAAAATTGAGGTTAAAAGTTATATAACAATCTTAGCACATCAAGCAATGCTGTTTCCCTTCTGATAAAAATTCAACCCAGGCTTAAGAAACACCAAGCAGTCGAAGAAAGCGTAAAGCAGAAAATTCTACGAACTCTGGAGAATGCAATGACCCTCCAGCAAAATCAGCTTCTAAGCCAAACGTAAACTAGATAATCGATAACGAAATTTAGTCGGTTTGATCACTAGACACCCTTATTGATATGTCATAATTGCTGAGTCCTTTTTAGGCTGCATGAATAGAATTTATGGAAGTACAGAAAAGTTGCACTCTTACCTACCAGTCCCCCCCCCCTCCCCAGAGTAACCACACGTCCACCACCACTCAGTTTTTCGTTCCAACCAATAGGGGCAGATTTAAGATAAATATAGAGAATCCGAGGAAACAGGTTGTGCTCAAGGGGTGTGCAATAGACTTACCTCCACGTGATGCAACCTGGGCAACGTACACTCATACGGCAAAAAAGTCTATAAATCGACAGTTGACTTCAAACTACCTTGTCCCGACTATGTCATATTCGATCACTTCCACGGTACTTTTCTCTTTTACATCTGTGAATCGCTCTTCTGCCCCCCCCCCCTATCGAATTTTCCTCACTTTGATGTTTCTCTCCTCTGTGAAGCCCGAAGTGAGGTAAAGAGCTAATGGTAATTGTCAAAACGCCTGCCATTTGAAATAAATGAAAAAATTTGTGCTCGGTTGGGATGCTTCAAAAGTGGTAGAAAAATTGCAAGAGAGGAGGCAACAAGGCAAGATAAAAACGTTCGAAAAACTACACTGCATTATTCATTAACGGCTCAGTAGACGAAACGCGATTCATAACGCCTTGTCACTACATTTATAGTCTGTCAGTAGGAACTAAGCCGAAGTTTATCCATTTGCTACTCTCTCTGTCCAACCTATACAGAACACTTTGCCCCCCCCCCCCCCCCCCCCCCCTACTGCCTACTGTTTTGAAAGCCACTTTTCTCACAGCTCTCTGGCTACCTTAACAGTTGCCTATCAACTGTCACTCGTTTTAAACAGTAAACTTTTGATTACACACAGCCTTTCTTCCTTCACGCAGAATTTGCTGAGATAATAGAGATGGCAAAAATAGACACTCACCCACTAATAGTGCGAGTATCAGCAGAGAGGATAATTTGAGTCAGAGAGGAGATAAGTAGGGATCTATCAGTGCCCTCGTTACTAATAAGAAGCACTGAGAGACCTTCTCCTGTTTTGTCCGACCTATCACGTCCGCAAAGTGCACAAGCTGCTGTGGAAGCGATGGCTAGCGTATCCCGAACCAGTCCAAGCCAAGCTGTTGTTTTCTTCAGACTCACCTTCAGGGAGGTAAGGCGTTATAATTAGACTGTCGTATAGCTCACGAGACTTCTTAATACGCCCACTTTTCTATATCTTGTTTGTAATTATAGCTGAGTGGATAAGATACGCGTATTTTTTATAATACAAAAGTAATTAAGACAATTTAAGTGGAAGACTAATCAGGACATAGTAGAATTATTATAACAAATGAATATTCAATGGAGAATGATGTGACCAAGTCGAACTAGAAGTAAAGATCACATAAGGTCATGGGGATAAGGCAGATCACTCAAACGCTCCAGAGAAAATTGATTTGACTGAGATCTTGTGATAAAAAAACAGGCAATAATGTGTCAGCTTCTGCCTCCAACAGCGCACATGTCAACCTCAAAGGAATTCAAGCAAAATAGCAATAGGAGGCTGCAAAATATATACGAATAGCCGATAAAAAAACTTATGCCCTTGAAATATCAACCGGATCACCGTTCCTTGGTCGCAAGAACTTTTCGACCACTTCATGCATAATGAAAAAGGGTAGGAGGAAAACAATGTCATAATCTGTTACCCTTTCCAGTAACTTGTGATAATGACATTGGAAATTTCCCAACAACATTCTACAAGGACAGAAACGAAGAAATGAATTGCAATTAGCGAATCAAAATCAGAAAAAGAACTTAGCAGGTTAATTAAGAGGAAATCATATTGATATCCACTTTATTTTTCAGTAAATTTGAAATCTTTAATTCAAATCTGCACAGATGATCTGTCTCTAAAGGTTATTTAAAATGATGGAAAACTGATTCGGACAGCAACGTAAACATAGTTAGACTATAAAACTAATCGCATAATCACTATTATGCCTTGCGGTGAGAAACTAGAATTCTGGTACTTCTCTCGTCAATTAGTGACATCGGCCACTCATCTCTTACCCATGATCTTTGACTTCGCAAATGAGCAGATTAGACACCACATCTCCGGAGAGCGGAAACAAAGAATAACTATCAAATTCATTGACTAGGGGAAAATTTCACCAATCACTTCCTTCTACTGAGTGCGAAGTGAATTCAAATGACTTTCTTTCAATAAATCTACGAGGAGTTAATATCGATGCCTTTTAAGTACCTTAACACCAGCAAACGTGCTCTTGCCACTTGCAACGTCTTCTTCGGTGGTTGTCGTGGCTGGTCGAAGAAGATTTGGAAGATTAAATCCCGCATTAGAGTTTTGTTGCGAGGGTATTCCAGTCGGAGTCGTGATGTCTATAATAGTAAAACCGTCAAAAATGTGAAGAGTTTGGTAAGGATAGAAGTTGTGTGTTTATAAATAAAGTGCACGTTGCATCATTCAGACTAGCGGATGCATAGGCTATAGCCGAGAACAAATGTCGAGGGCAAGAGTGAACGGAATTATGTACTTGTACTCATCCTCTAGGGTCGGTTTAAAATGAATGCTGCTGTTTTGTTAATAAGGTGCTTTCAAGAAACACTCAATGAATCAGACGAGGATGACATTTTGATCTGTGTATTTCAATTACCGTTAACTTTTATAAGGTTTAAAGAGAATCGAAATTGGACAGTAAAGGTCATCGTTGATTGATTCACTGCACAAGAGTGCTGGTATATCTTTTTTAAATTAACAGTTCCATAGTTGTATATTCCCACTCAACCGTTATTGCTTAACTTCACTTGTGATGAGGATTCACGCCTTAAAAAGGGGTATCAATATTGAGATTGCTAGTTTTTTTTAGTTATGACGGTCCGAATAAAACCAAGAATTAGTTGGTGACTTGGCCGATGCACTTATCTACGATGTGATCCATTCCAGACGCTTTCTCATACACATTTCCTGTAGCGATACCTAATGATCCATTTTAAAACTTTTCGTTTGTGGATCTTCTACTCTCTGATTGCCACTAACTTAAATTTCACTCCCACTTCGTAATTCTCTCAAGCCTTCGAGGCACCAATTAGTAACCTTCATTTTTGCACGAAATTTTCTACTGGTTTCACTGATCTGGCTTCCATTCATGCTACAGTACCGTTAGAGTGCTTCTGGCCTTATAATCATCAGGCATGAGAAGAGGAGAGGAGGGGGGAGGGGTCTATCGTCAGGGTTTTAGTGAGTATGGCACCATATTGTTACAATCTTGAGTAACAGTAACATGACCTCAGTGAATAGTACAGAACAAACTAGCTATAATCAACTAAGACTAGCATAAATGGCTAGTCAACTTGAAATATGGTGAAATTGTTGAGCGTTTTAAGAAGAGCATCAGAAACTGTGACCGATTAATTTGATGACGGACTCAGCTGGTCGCTACTCAATTATGGCTACAAGTGGAAATCAATTAGAAATAGAGAATTTATATCAAAGTCCTATATATTCCTACATTTGGTTACATGATGCAGAACTCATTCCCCATTATTAATTTCATAGATTGTTGAGTACACTTGGTGGATTCAGTAGTTACTTCTTCTATAACCGGAATTTGCTGGCTTAGATGATCTAATCATAGAAAACACATCAAAATTGGCAGAAGGGCAACTCAATACCATCGATTATGAATTCATATACTTTTCCACCATTCCATCCCTGCACCAACGTCATTTACTTATAGATCACGATTTATCCACTACCCTCCTCTCTCTAGCTAATATCTGTCTCTCTGCCTCAACGTAATTATCTCGATACGTACTGAGGATGCTCGAATTAACAAAACAAATGTCCTAAGGCATTACTTTTACCTACCTTCAATGAACTTGACGAATATTTCATGAATCTTGGGTGGATCTGGCAGAGGTTTTTGCATAGATTTCCATCCCTTGTCATAGAGATCAGTTGAGGAATCTAGAAACAAGGAAAGTGGAAGTAGACCTCAAAAGTGAGGATTGAAAAGACAATACAAAAAGGCACTCGAAAAATTCAACTGAAGCAAGCAGGGAATGAATTAAAAAATGCGAATGAGGGGAAGGGGTTAAAATTCACACCTAAACTCCACATAATAGCAGAACCAAGTAAATTTGAGGGTGGGGGAGAGGGGGGGGGGAGCAATAATTAAAGCGAATTCTATTGAAAAAAGGGGGGAGGAAGAGGGGCACATGCAAAAGGGGAAAACCACTAACCTCCAATAAGGCGTTTCAAATGCCATCGTTTTTTAGATTTTTTGGGCAAGGTGTCTTCTGCTATTATCGTGGAGAAATCACGTCTCTCTATATAGAGGGGTACAGAGAAAATACATGGCTTGCTTGGAAGAGGGAATGAAAGACACAGGCAAGCAAACAAACGTGCAAATGGAAGAAGGCGCAAACAACCACTCACCTTTTTTAGTACTTTTTGAGTTGGAAGATGAGGCAACGGCGTGATTACTACTCTCATTGGCTAGATTAATAACCAATCCGCGTCCACTGGGGGACAGCATGGTATCAAGTAAATGGTCATTGGCTTGCGACTCGGGCTTGGAAGAAGATGGTTGTATGGAACCAGAAATAGAAGATGTATCATTGACCAGAGATAATTGGCTTAAGCGACTCGAAGAACTCGAGGGAACAAGACATGTCTTTCTACTTGTGGTGACTAAAATTGTCTGGAAGAATAGAAGACGATTTATGAACTAATAGCAAATCTTCAAAAAAACAGATATGATCTTACAAAACGCTATGTGTATCACTGTAAAATGAATGGAACTAGAAAAACGAATGAAAAGAATAAATTCATATACCAAAGTAAACTACCCACTTGCGTTAACTTGATTGAACATTACATTTGCTTCACCTAAAGCAATATTAACTTTTAATGGGCTATGCATGATTATCCATTATTATGGTACCTGAAATTATGTTTATTAGATAGAATTATTCAAACCAACACCCCACCTTTTCAAATACCCAATCGCTTAAATTATTTGCTTCCAAAATTGGATTCTTCAACGATATTGATATCTGAACCCATCAGAAAATAGATGCAATCTTAACCGACACCAGCTTCCACTGCACACCCACCTGACTAATCCCTACAGCTAAGTCTAACCAAAATAACTTACTAAATATTTATTTGTCTCCCTCATGCGTTTTTTCAGCTTTACATTTAGTAACATAAGTACTAACCATCAATAGTTTGGAGATGGTCTCATAGTCAATGATAAATCCGACCTTTTTAATTTATAAACACTGTGTAATCTTAATAACTATCTAAAAAAATCAATAATCGAACAGGAATTAATTTATACGGTAGTATTGATCACCGACAATCAGGTAACAAGGAATAAAATCGTCAAGTTGACCAAATTGATTGAACCAGGTATAAGTTTTCAAATAGGACTTCGACTGTCACCGCTACTACATCCCTTGTACATAGATGGTCTTAGCCAAGCATAAACTTACATTTGCCTTCATTATACATACACACCAAATTTATCAATCCCGCAATTCACATTCACAACAAATCTCGCCACAATTCCAGATGTAAAAGGCACGAATAATTATTTGGTTATATTCACTGGCGAATGGGCAATATTACTGATTCTATCTTCCTATTATTATTGAAAGTAACGTCTATCCTCTAAATCGCTTCTATGAAAGAATACGACGGTTCGAACTGAAATGCAATAAGCGTTCCCCTTAAAAAGGACTGTTTATCCTTTTTAAGCCCAAGATATCAGATGAAAGCTTGAAAAGAATAGGGAAGGGAACAAGAAGGCGAAAAAGCTGAAAAAGTTCCGATTATACACGGCCGCTCATTCAAGACTTGCTGGAAAATCCCAGATAGAATTATTATTAACTAAAGCAGTAAGGAATCAAGAGAAATCTCCACAAAGGATCTAAAGTTAAAGGCACAACTATGAATAATTATAAAATATTCTTGCTTAAAGAAATAAATAATTTACTTTACCATAACTCCATATCATTACAAAGGCTAACACTTATAGGAACTTATATGAGATATTGCGGATAGACTGAATGGAGATGTAATAAGTTTTTTGTTATACCAGCAAAAACTTTTCATTTTCCAAGCATAGAGTTGAATGAGGGCGAGAAGTTGGGTCAAATTTTAAGAGTTTAAAAATAAATACTCAAATATATACATCCACTGTACTTAGGCTCTAGATACTTATATAAAAATAACAAAACAGTAAAACTAACCGATTTTGGGGCATGAAAGTACTTTATCATAGGAAACCTAAAACCAAAACGACAACGGGCAGCATTCGTAACAACACTGTCATCAACCACTGCTGGAACAACCATGATTTGCGGATAAGACGAACAAACCTAATAAGGTAATAAAGGAATGTCTCCATCCTTACTTGGAAATTTTCATTAACATAACTTATCCGCAATTGGTTGTTGGATATTTGCTCAGCAAAATCAATTTCGGGAGAAAAGACCTGGGCTCTATGACCCCCACCATCGATAACCGGACAGTCAGTAATAAAGTCATCAATTTTCCATGATGGTTCCTTTACTGAAAATAACAGTCGGCAATTGGATAAACGACCTACACATATCGAATAGTTGATTATGAACAGTTTGCTGCTGTCGTACAGAAGGAAAACTGATTTCGTAAAATAGAAAGTCTTTTGTGGCAATCAAAAGCGTATACAAATTTGACGGTGTCCGTCCAAATCGCCGCTGAATACTATTGGAACTACCGTTTGATTGAGCATTTGAGTTTATTGTAGGTACAATGCGCACCAATCGATCTATTAGTTTGCGGTGTATCTACAACGTGACAGGTAAAAATAAAAATCAAGCTATTTACCAGAAATCTTTCTTTATCGTTTGACACTTCTATACCTTTTGAGGAAACACAGTAAGAACCCTGAATAACGAAACTATCCGGACCGCAAAGATATGCGCTGTTCGCCATTTTCTGAAAAGCATTCAAATCAAGCTTTATCAAAACGGTACATTTTTCACTTAAAATAAATATAATGGGAAGCAGAAAATGTAAAATCTAAGTACAAGACTAGCCGTTCCGCAAGGCGTAAGAAGGCCTGAAAACTTCAAGGCCAAATGTTAATCAATAGATATTTACCGATAAAATTTTGTTTTTCCCCATGTACACACGGTCATCTTTACTCTTCGTTTTTAACTTTTACAGTGAAACTCAAATATTCGAGGAATGTTTACACTGCAATTAGTGCAACCTGGTAGCTTAATTATATCAAATAATGGTACGTGCTTTAAAAATAATGTCTAAGCTAAAGAAAGAGGATTACGAAATCATTGTCAGCTTATTAAAAAGCACCCTATATTTAATTTTAATGGGGATTTGGAAGAACACTCGCGGACTTGGCCAAAAATAACTTAGTAATCCAGAGTACTGCTTATAAAATAAACGTCGAAGAGTTTGTTAGGAGCATAATTTAAAGATTTTTTGTGTTCATTATATTAGTTTGAATTCGAAGTTGAGTAAAATAATAAAAGAGATCGCAATAACAACTAGAAAATGACTTATTATTGCTCGATTTAATACCTACATTTTATGTAAATATCGATATTTCAATCACATATTCTTGTCTTGCTATTCATAAGTTTGACGGTTTCTATCAATTTAACTTAACTAAATGCATTCATGAAATCAGTAACTATAAGTTACTTGGTAGAAATATTACTGAAGCTTTGAAAATGCTTTCTATCTAGTTGATAATCTAGGTTACTGGAATTTAATCCTTAATTATAATTCGTTCTTCATTTTACGAATATCAAAGGTATATTTAGTATTATAAGTTCTAACTATCGTTTTTGGTTTGATAAGCTCATCACTCAAAATAATTATTTATTTGTTTATAGTAAATGGCAGGCGTTTTGATAGTTATCATTAACCCTTTAGATGACTTCGGGTTTCACAGAGGGGAGGAACATTAAAGTAAGAAAAAGCAGAGAGAAGAAAGAGAAGAGTGATTCACAAATGTAAAGAGACAGAAAGACTGACACAAAGTAGAAAGGTAGCTGTGGAATTAGTCGAATATGACACAGTGGAGACATTGTTATTTGAAGTCAGAAGTCAACTGCCAGTTAATAGAATTTTTTGCTGCATGAGCATACATAGCCCAGGGTGTACCACGTGGAGGTAAGTCCATCACATACTCTCATTCAAAATATAAATTAACAAAATTATAGGGAAAGTGTAATCATTGAATCTCAAGTGGTGACATTAAATACCGATCTAAACCAACTTGAGAGGCGGTAGACGCTAAATTCTCATCTCGAGAATACTAGAAGCCTTATTTTAAATATACCGAGGGCTGAAAATATATTTTATTGACTAATTGTAGATACTACATAAACTGTAAATCGCAAATGAAAGGGGAAGGATATCTAGAATCATTAAAATTGACGATCGGCTATATATGATCTATGATCGAGCACATGAACACAGAATATATGGTTCTTCATAATTAACTTAACAAGGATTTTATGCAAAGCTTTCATAGAAGTGTAAATAATTGAATTTTGTAAATAAGGCAGAAAAGTGAACTTTAAAAAGCAAACCTTAATTTAAAATTTATTTGTGTTTTTAATATAAAATTGGTTATAATTTCAGGTATTTTTTAGAAGAAGAGTTACTTGAAATAAATTTACACATTTTCGGAGACTTTAAGAAGGGCTACATAATTTGGCGGCTTTTGTGGAACTAGCTGGGATTTTGGTACCCGTTGCTATTTTCATTCATTATCATTTCCCAAGCTGTAAAATCGTCTACCAGGTAATTATGGCCTTTAATAAAATGCTTTAATTGGTCGATCTATGTGGGGAGCTGTTTTTATTTTATTTTATTGTTTCTGTGCTCAAGTTCTGTGCTTTTTATTTACTATCTTGTATTTTCGATGGATATTTTCACTTTTCATTTAAATTTATGTATAAAATAAATTGTGTGCTATTTAGGATAATTCATGGAGCTACGAGTTGGTAATAGATACCGACTGGGTCGCAAAATCGGCAGTGGCTCCTTTGGAGAAATTTATCTCGGTTAGTTGATTTGTTCAAAAATTATTTGAAATCTGCTTAAAACTTATTATGCATGACTTATGTTGATGTCTGCTATACTTTTGGTTGACTTATGTATTAGTTTTATGGTCTATTTTTGTTTTTTACTGTAACTTACGTCAAGATTTTTTTATGATGGCTATTCTTCGAAATTTATATGCCACTCAGTACGCCTGCTCGTGTGTATCTATATGAGTCCGTCCAGCTGTTGTTAGTTTTTATTATCGCTTTATAAAATGTATATATTTATTGTGTTTTAGTTTATTTTTCTAAACTTTATTCGTTATCCTTTTCGACTTATTCTTGAATAATTGTATTTTCATGTTCCCGATTCGCATACTTCTGCAACTTTTCCCTGTCGTAATGTTTTCTTATTGTTTTTTGTTAATATTTCAATTGGATTTACGTGGACTTTCGTTTGTGAAGCTTGAAATGATAAAATCATGTTTTAAAATTTTATCAGTTTTATTTCTATTATACTTAATCAAGATACTTTTAATCTTCTAAACTTTATTCAATAAGTTTTGACTAGTTATCATTAACACAAGAAAAACTACTGCCTTTTTCCATTTTTTTGATCCAATTGTTCATTTCCATTTTGGCTAAAATTAGCTTACTTGTTAGGCTATTTGTATCGATTTTGTCTATTTAACTTTGCCCTTTGTAAGATTGAAATTCCTCGACTGCTTTTTAGTCATCTTCGTTCGAATGCATTGCCCTTTCAACTTGTTTTAGATTATCCTTGCTATCGTGTTTTTGATAGTACTTTTGTGGCTATTGCTTCGAATTCATCTGATCTGTTGAATTTTGTCTTTTTTTTATCGTTGAAACATTGTTTGATTTTAATAAAAATGGTATTATAAAAGCGGCTTGTTTGTTTTGCAATACCATATTTCATCATTTTCTCAACTTCCATCTTAATCATCTACAATAATGTATATCGTTTGTAATTGGATATTCAAAATTTACCCAGTTAATCATTTGAGCTAACAAAATTAAATTATGATCTAATGATCTGTTACTCTGCTTCGTCGTTATCGTTCTTTTGACCGAAGTTTAACCATTATAATCTGGAGGTTTTTCTACATTTGACCCACCCACTATAGTTACTACTTTGGCTCCAGGCTGTCTAAAACATTAATATGTTCGTTTTCCTTCAAATCTAAAATCTTTAAATGGTGTGGGGAGAATAATCTGTTGGTCTTGTTTATTTTTTGTCTAAATAATTTAAACGAGTTTTTCTCTAATATTCGCCAATGCGTACTCATTGGGCATACTGTTCATATGCACTCCTTAACTCTTATACTGTAGAGGGGGTAATTGGTTTCGGTTTTATATCGAGGTGTCTTTGTGGTTTTAAGTCCAATTTCTTTTACAAATGTCTGATGAATGATTGCATTGCCAATCAGATAGTATTAGTGACGAGCCGATGGTGGAGATTGGAAAAATGGAAATATATTCTTCAGGTTGTTTTAGTTTTTGCTCGAGAAGTCTATGAAATTCAACGTTTACCGTTTTATACTTTCTCTTTCGACTTTTAGTATTAATATTTTGTTTTGAGACTTATAATCGGTTAGACAGTTCTTTCTCTTTCTAATTTTGCGGATCAGTCCTTATCTCATAATAAAGCAAATGTTGATCAACCTAGTTGAGACGTTTGATTATATGGCCAATCAGAAGCATTTAATCAACAAAAACTTTTATATCGCTTTTATGTTTTTTTTTCTCGTTTTTTGTTTTTAACACCTTTTATACGGTTGTTTGACAATTTTGATTGTTTTATTTTTTCTGTTTGAGTCTGTTTTAGTACAAGGAATTAGTCAATGCTGCCTACTCCTAAGTTGAAAAATTTTTTCCCAATGTATAAGGAATTAACTCTTGTCAAACCATAATTCCAGTTATAACAATTAACTCCAAATCTGTCGTGACTGTGGATCTTGTAGAGTGCTTTAGTTTCGTATATGCCGATTTCATTTGCTTTCGAAAACGAATGCAGGCTGTCTGAAATTTTAAACGAATTTTCATTCAGGGGAAATTGACATCTTATGCAATAAATTTCACCGAAATCGTCTTATCTATACAGTCTAATTAAGTAATACCAAGTGTCATCGGTCCTTACATTCGTAATTGAACCTATAATTGTCTTTTGTCCGCGAATTTATTTTTTGAAATTGTCTAATTTGCTTTAGTTGTACAGGTAGGGGGATAGAATGCTGGTGCACACTAAGGTACCATCTATTAAGCATTCGTCATCAAAGAAATCCTTTTTGATCCATGTCGAACGTTCTCAAGGTCGTGCACGTTTGAACGCACAAATGCATGTACAAGATGTTGGGCAGGTCTGTTTTGATTGGCTACCTGCAAACCTGTGTGTATGTGTGTGTGTGTGTGAAGGGAGAGAGTTCGATTACGCGCGTGCGGATTTATCACTGACACATTGGCTATACACGTCACCTTCACTCCTTATCGTTGTAAGGCAAAAACGCAAAGGCGGATTGGCTTGTAGTGCCATTCAGGAAAGAGCCTGGCTTGTATTAGTCACATCAATCCCTTCCTCTCTTTTTACTTACCGCACTCCTTTTAGTCATATACTAAACGCTAAGTTTTCAATTTGACAAGCCTGAATGCACGGTACTGGATAAAGCGGACATTCTTTAGCTTAGTCTATTTAGACGATCACGTAGCCTTCAATATGTGCATGGAAAGTAGGTTTTTAAAGTCAATGACTTATCGCCCTTCTAATTTCCTACGATCCCTACCAGAAAACGATGGCTGAGCAGGGGTTTTGCACTAGAAAGGTTCCTGGACTGATACTCCTCAGTCTACGATGAGTCTTGTTTTTTTCATTTTTAATATTGTGTGTTTATATTTATGTGCCAGGAGCAGTCCTCATCTGTTTTTTTTATTTTAAAAAACGGGAGAGTGGACCAGCTTTTCTCTTTATTTAGGTTGAAATCTACTAGTTAAGTTATTTTAGCAACCTGGCCAAGCTAGACTTAGAAATAACAAATCACAGAAATAATGGTCTCCCCGAAGGGATATAAAAAACTAAGGTTCAAAGTTCGATTGGCTCAGGCAATCATCTTTAAAAGGAAATACACGAATTTCTGATTATAGGGTTAGACAGAATGTGTTTAATTCTTTGTTCCTTTTTTTAGACATTAACGAAAATAAGCTTGCAAATAGTTTTTTGAAAAACCAATCTAATTGCGCTTTAGTATGTAATCGAATTTTTGCATTGGTTACTGGTATTTACAAATATATATAATCAGATAGGTTATAATAATAGAATCATTTATTTGAAAATTTTATTTCGAATAGGTTTCGAACATGGGAAATGGTAGGGGGGAGGGGAAATATCTTCCAAATTCTAGCGAAATGCGGTCCGATTTTTTGCAGCCTTTCAAATTTCTCATCTTTTGTAACTCTAGCTTTCGGGTTTTATTCGTGAGAGCAATTCATTCTAATTTCGCTTTTCCACTTTGGTGAGCAATCTTTAATTCTTTAAGAGAATATTCGAAAACTTTCATCCAGCTTCAAAAACTATATCTTCATTACCTTACGAGCTTGTAGTTCTTATGAAGGTCACCAACTGTCACACCATAGCTTGTCTTTTTATTGAGTCAGGGAACAGTTTGTCCACACTCTTAATTGAAACGTCGAATAGCTTCATTTTAGTCACTAGGTGACATCTATTGTGTACTATCACGCGTAACAGGACTTAAAGCAGTGCTGCTCATGAATAAGTTAACTTTTTAATCAATTTCTCCATTTCTCTAATTCTGTCGCCAGATTTTTAAATTCTTCCATGAATTTCAACAATCTGATTGTGCATATGCTGAGTCATCGGATGTCGTGTGCCGCCTGAAAGCCTTTAGTATGCTATCGTGGTCCATACTGACTAACGTCTAATGACAGAGAACTGCTTTCTCCTTATCTTGGAGAAACACCCTCTTGCTTGAAACCACTTTTCAGGTTTCCAAATACAAAAAGGAACTAAAGTGAGGGCTTAAACTGCTAGGACTTAGAGATATATACACCTTGTCAAAACCGGGGGTCTTCCTAAAGGCTAACTGAAAACAATGGCTGTTCTCAAACCAGAAGATTAGTGGTTGAGTATTTGAGACAACCTTAAAGGGATGAGGTGGGAAGTAGTAGAAAGAGCGAGTAAAGGTAAGAGTTAGTAGAACATAATTAGAGAAGTGATTATTGCATAAAGGCAAAATTAAGGAAAGCAAAGAGGTGAATAAATATATGCTTTCTAATAAATACTACGGATACTCTGTTCCACACATTTAGTACTCCTAATTGGATTAATTGATATTATCCTTCTTATTAGTTCTAGTTAGAATATATCAATGAGATGGTGGCGATCAGGGTTATTGAATTTGGCTACCCTGCCTTAACAGAACAAGTTTCATGCGGATGGAGTAAGTGCTCATATTGTTGGGGAAATTTTGGTGAATAACTATTGGGCTGTTTATATTTCGATATCTAATTCTGATCACTATCTGGTTTCGTCATAAAGGCGTTAGAGGAGAATGGCGCAAGTCCAGCATTTTAGTTATGACTACTTTGTGCGCTATCACTGCCCCTTATAGCTTCTTCACACCTTCGGTATTTGGTGTGAAATTTTAGACAATTTTGCAGGACTAATTCGTCTTGCGATTTTAGTAATTATCAGTACGCACTTGGTAATTGAAAAAAAAATCGGTTCATTTATTTTCATCGAATTGGCCAAATTTAAAGTTCGCAGATGCAAGTTTCAGTTTGTATTTTTAGCAAAAGTAATAACCCTTAAAATCGGGAATATTTGAGTGCACTTGAACTTGATTGGAGAGTCGAGAGGGGGGGGGGGAGAGGAAGTATGAGTCTGATTTTTTTTAAAAGTTGCTGTCATTGGATCAAAATTTCTCAGCACTAAGATTAGGCTGCCTCCATCCCTATTGCTTAGGTTTGGTTACTTGGCGGTATTATTGATGTGAACGGCAATTTAACATAGTTACTGATCGAGGCACAAGTATGAGAAATCAGATGTCTCAAGTTGAAATCTCATCTCTGCACAGCAAGTGATATGGCTGACTATGCACACTGGTTAATGCTGGTCTGAAAGAGAGATAGTAGAATTTTGGTTTCGCCTAGGAGTGTGTTCTGGATGTACTACTTTACCCAAACACCAAGTGCACTATTTCTCATAGTGAAAGCTTATCAAATTGCTATGTAGTAATGCTTCAGAGGTTAATGTGCTCGTCTGTAAAGGAAGGGGTCATGGTTTCGGTGGTCACATCCATTAAGTGGAATGACCAATCGCAATCTTTGAGTCTAGCTTTTAAATGGGGTGGCAGATTGTAGAAGTCTTTGCCAGGGATGGGTATTGATAAACAATATTTCTGAAATATTCTTGGACGGATGGCTGCTCTCAATTTGCTCTCTTCTCCTTTTTCCGTTTCCACGTTCAAGTGCTAAATGAAATGCTAACTTGGATTCGGAAATCCTGTTTACACTTTGTGTGTGTGCGTGTGTGTGTATGCGTGCACTTTTCTCGGGAAGCAGAAATCAAAGCACCGGCGCCTAGTTACTCATCTTGTCTTCTCTTTTTATCTCGGAGTGGGATTTTTTCCCCCATTTCGTCTTATATTTCCTTCCTCTTTACTTTCTGGGCAAGGCTTGTCGGTATTGGTTCCTTTTTTTTCAAAATCGTTCCAGTTTAAACTGCCGACTTTGGACTACGGGTCTAATGGATTAATTTTGGCCTTACGCGCGTGGGTCTGGGCGTAAACATTTTCAGCCTTAAGGAAGTAATTGATTTTATTCTTTCTCTCATTTAGTGGGTAATTGTGAAGTCTCCAGTTCGTTGACAGTTTAAAGCAGTCCGCCGTTTCAGCTGTTATGATGAAAATGAATGCTTATGCTTATGTCTTCTTTGTGAATTAACTATTATTCGATATTCATCTCCTTACTTTTTATGTTTATTTTGATTCAGGATATTGAAGGCAAATAGTTCCTTAAGTTTTGCAATGTAATGTATATCCTATTTCTCCTTTGATTAATCACAATTGAGGACGTTGGGCTTATAGTTTTGCCATTCTACATTCTTTCGCATTATGGTTTCTAATTTATTTGGTTGCTTAAGGTAGTTTGCGCTTAAAAATCTCGCCCTGCGAGTAGTTAGTGATAGCTTAGAATTTGGTTATCCTAGTTTAGATTGTGTCAATTTTGAGGTCTTACTTTTTCGTTCTGTTTCTACTCTTACTACTTTCATTTCCACTTTTTCGGGTCTTCATTACTTCTCTTTTCCTTTTTATTTTAATAACTACCAAAAATAGCAACACGCAAGGTTATTATTTAGTTTTGGTGAACAATTTTGGAGCAAAATATTATTTTCAATATAAACAAAGAAGTATATGCTTAGGGATTTAGTTTCTAACATGATCCTAATTATATTTGAGTGTCAGAGTGAATGTCTTAATGAACTCCCTTCTCTTCTCTTGGGATTTTCTGTCAGTTGTTTAGTGTGCGTGCGTATTCTTATTACGACTAGTTGACTATTTTTTTGGGGGGGGGGGATTCTCACTTAAGTCGGTTGTTAACGATGAAGCTGACATTTTGGTAAGCGGATCTTTAATCACCTCGGTTTTGTCACAAAATTTTAAATCACTTATAATTATACACTTGAAGTCCTTGTTATGATTTATGTGCCTAAGGAACAGTGTTCCAGACGTTGAACTTGCTGCTTCTCTCTGCAGAAATTCAATTGTATTTGACAACTTCACAAATTGTCGGGACAGCGATCGATACTGTTGATTATTTTGGCAAATTGAGGACTTTTCTAATTGCCTTGCCTTACCTATGGCTTTCTTTAAACTCTCCAGCTTTATTTAATATGTGACAACTTATAAAACTCTTAAAAATTTCCTTTATTGTTTATGGAAGGCTAGTTTAACTTTTAATTTTTTTCATTTCGCCATGGAGTTTTCAAGCAGAGGCATCTAAGACTTGGGTAGTAAATAAGCACTCGTTCACACAAAGGTGAGACGATTTTCGGTATCGAAGTATTCAATGAGGTGAATTAAATGGTTGAATATAGTGTACACATGTGCCTGATTGAGAGTTGTATTTAGCCGTAAATGTAAACCAATTCTACACTATAATTAATTATCGTTTTATCAGTCTGTTTCTATTTTTGGTTACCATTTTAGGCACTGATGTAACAAACAACCAAGAAGTCGCTATAAAGTTGGAATGCGTAAACGCCAAACATCCGCAATTGATGATTGAAGCAAGGATCTATCGAATACTGCAGGGCGGATGTAAGTTGACCTTCCTCTTAAATCTAACTTTTGAATACTTCTTTTATTCGTGCTCAATATTAGCTTAACATGCTCGTGTTATGCTTAGTGTTATTTATAGTTAGCTTTTGTTGTTAAATTACTTAATACATATTTAGGAAGTGAGTAATGGATTAACTAATGATTTAATTTCGTTCTTTAATAAGACTTAATGAGGAAAAAGAAGAGTTAAACTCAGATGAAGCTGGCCGAAGGAGTTGAAGAGTGGAGGAGTGGATCGGTAGGAAATGGGTTGGAAGCCGAGTAGATTTGGAGATATGAGTACGAAACATCGAAGTTGGCCTAGGGAAATTGTTTATATATATAGATACAAAATGATTGATATGGGGTGGTTGGGTGTTGGTGGACAGACAACAACAACAACAGGAAATAGTCAATAGCGTGGGAGATCTTAGCAAACAATTCCTCTTTTTTCTTTGTATTAATGCCATCAAATGTTATTTTCGGTGATACAAAGAGGATTTTGGAGAGAATAAGCTATCACACCTCACATTCATTAACTAGAATTTTCTCTGGGTTTTACTATGTCATAGAATGTATGCGATTTGGTTTTATTTCTAATAATTTCGAATTTAGAAACGGGTTTCATTGATTCATAAAGCTCCTTATAGATCTCTTGTTCACGAAGTTACTGCAGATGTAAGCACAGATCTATACTCTTCTCTCACTCTTCGAACTTAGTGGTGTCATTAGTGTAGACTTGATTAGTTGTATGGCCAACCAAAATATTCAAGTCAAGCCATAAAAATGATTAATTAGGTTCAAATTTCTCACCTTAGAGGTTACCCTGAAAATGAGTGTTTGAAACCCGCTTCCCAAATAAGCTGTGGAGTTATTATTACCCACCCTAATTGTTTCGTTTCCATTTTTCTGCTTCCTCTACTGTTGTGGAGTCTAAGTCGAGTGCTTGATTTAAAATAATTAATTTTCATATAACTTTATTAAACCATCGCGTAAGAAAGTGTCCTTGCCCACCTCTTTCATAAGTTCCAGAAATTTACGTCCATCTGGTTGAGGAAGGGTTTATTGAACATAAACTTCTCGTTAGAGTGGCTTCATGACGCTGTTCGGGAACGCCTTCCTTTATCTAGCGTACCTTATTTCAACACCCTGTAAATTATATACTTAAGTGCAAAGAAAGCTACTGATGTTATCTAACGTAAACAGTTAAGGCATTCTTGTGTTTCCGTAAGGATGAAAAGTTTAAATAACTCCCACTCCTTAATGAACTCTTTCCCTAACACTTGAAAGTACTTATTTGACGAACCTTGAACTTATCTTACTCTTTGCATAAAAAATGTGAAGTAAAGCTAATTCAAATTTAATCAGCTTTAATCAACTGACTCAGTTAGGCTTAGTGATATCAGATGTAAAAATGTAACAGCATGTCACTGTCTTAACGAAAATCGAGAGTTATGGCTAACCAGTGTCGCAGATTGATGGAGAAAGATTGATGGACGTAGATCCGTGTTGCATGTCCAAACTGCCTGCTTGAATGTGCACACTTAGACGATTTGTCTGATTTACTGATTCATTGTGGCTGTCAGCTGATCTGTGAGTCATTAGTCGTAGTACTGCAAACTTTAGTTTCATCCTTTCTCTTAACAGTTGGCATCCCAACACTGAAGTGGTGGGGTAGGGAAGGCGACTACAATGTCTTGGTAATGCAACTTCTCGGGCCAAGTCTGGAGGATCTATTCAACTTTTGCGGTCGTCGCTTTCGTCTCAAAACGGTCATCCTACTTGCAGATCAAATTCTTATGCGCATAGAATACATGCACAGCCGTAACTTCATTCATCGGTTCGTTTGTATTGTTAAATGTGCTTTTTTTTTAAAATGTGAGGTTACAGTTAACGTCTAGTTCAATTAAGGCTTTTAAAATTATGCAGAGCCAAGCTCTTATAAGTTATGTTGTGTGGAGTTGATTCGTTCATAGGGAGCCTTAAATTATGCCAATTCAGTATTTTAACATAAAGATTGTCTTCTGGAGAATGGTGTTCCTGAAATGTATGTTTTGACCACTATGCACTTCTAGTTGTGCTGCTGAAGGTTTACTCCTGTTGTTTGCTATCATTTTCTGATCCATTTTAGCAAGTTTGCCATCTATCCAATCGGTGGTAGTAGTTTCGCTTAATTTTCATTGTAATCTACCATCATTTTCTCGCAAAACACTACTGATATTATTTCAAAAGTCTTTATGCTTTATTTTCACCTACAGGTTTTAATGGTGACAAATATGTTGATGACATTATAGTTTGTCTAAAACTAGGTATGGAAAGTCAACTAAACGGGTCAAGCTTAAATTTTATCACTAGGGTATGACGACATAATTAAGCGTCTGGCCGCACAGATTGGGAATAGTATTCAGATTTTAGGGCATATTACCTCCATGCTGAAGTTTACTACTGCTACTGTTGATCTTATCCGTTAGGGAAGAAACCTGAGCTCATAACGACAGTCGTTAATGCATAATATGGATATGTGAAATTGTTTACTCACCTGGGTAACCTGTAATCATGAAAGGAAGAAAGTTCGTTTCCAGGTATAAACAGTTATTCATAACGGCATCCGCATACAGTATATCCTGAAAATTCTCTTCTCTGTGGCGGATATCTGAAAATGATTTCCGAAATAAATTCTTAGGTTTATTAAGTTACTTTCCCATCATCTGACTGTTGCATTAGGGCTGAGGTTACCTCTACCCTCGTCTGCGGAGGAAGACACATCTGACAATCATGACAGCTCGGGCAAATTTAGTCTGTATGGCTCGAGGAGTGTCCTTTAGACCATCTAAACCATCTATTATTCTGCTTGTAGGGTTTTTCATTTCTTCAAGTGTTACTCACCAGGAAAGAATTAGACTATTTGTACTTCAGCAGGTGTTACTTCGTCTTTGTATAATGATTTTGTTTTGCATTTTCTCTGACCCTTGTAAGAGTGGTGATGGAGGTCTTCATTCTGTATAAACTTCTTGATGGTGACCGAAACATTCTCGGCTTCAGATTCCGCTGTATGCAGATTTTTCCGTTTATGCTCATAGTAACTTCGTAATCTTAATTGCATTTTTCGAACTCATGCCACTTTCTTTTCACAATGTTCAGAGAACATTGAGAAAAGACCGTTATCTCATTATTTTAATGTCCGGTACCAATCATCATGCCAAAAGTTATTAGCTCCCAAGATTCAGGTAGGTTCCAGTCTTCTATACTTGCTGTCATCACGTATATGAATGAAAAATGGTGTGTGCGAACAGCTTTAAGAAATTTGTCAGAGAACAAAATATTGCTCTTGAAAAAATGATTCCAAACACCCTGTGTGTTGCAATCCCTAACACATGCTTTGTTCCTCCTTTCTGTTCAGGTCGATTTGTTACTGCTCTTGCAGTCAGTTGATTATTCCTACATGCGCCTGGCCCCTATTCACTCATTTTCCTTACTTTACCCTTTAAGGTTTCCTCTTTTTTGGTTATTATCCCTAATTGCCGTCGAGTTTCCACCAAAACGCCTGGATTGTTAAGTTCTTATATTTAAAAAAATCGGATTAGGGGTTGTTTAATTGGCGCTTATTACATTAACGCCTCAAATTGAAATATGAATTTCGGGAGTCTTTGTCGTTGTTTCCCCATCTCCCGTGTCATACTAGCCTAACGTTGGAAAAAGTCGTGTTTGCTCATACGCTCAGTTTTTAGACAGCTAAACAATCGTAAATACGACCGGAACGCCTGAATTTTCTGGGTAAATCAAAAATGTTTACTATGCGACATCTGTATCACACGCTTTTAAATTGAGACAATAGATCTATTTGGTAAAGGGTCGACTTGGACCGAAGTGTTCTTCGGTTTTTTTAATCTGGCCATTCGGGGAGCAAGTACATAGACTTCAATTTAAAATTTCCCAGTAAGGTTGTTGTTTAACGCTTTTATGACTTCCTGAGGTGTTCACATTGTTAGGCTGTTAAACCATAACTCGGGTTGGCTAAATCTTCATAATAGTTTTGCCTAAGTATAGTTAATTTTTAACCGTAAATGGTTTGTTTAATATATGAGTAATGATAATGATTGATCTATGTTATGTAGGTTAGGTTTCATAAGTGAAATTTCCACAGCAGTCCCATTGGTCGATTGTTTTCTATTTGGATCATTAATTACCACACGCTTAGAGCATTTTTCTTATTGAGTTTTGAGCTTCTCTAACTTTTCTGGAGTTTAATCGATGATCGATTTCTCTTTGTCCTTACCACTGTTGGGTAGACGTTGTGTTGGTTAACAGTTTTAAGAAATGGACCTTGGTTCATTTTGTTAATCGGTCTAAAGTAAGATTTGCCGCTACTGTTAATCCATTCAACAAAGTTCCTCAACTAACACAACTCCAACTTGATAGTGATATCTTTTTTCCCAGCATTTTGAAGCTTGTCGTTCATACAAATAGTTGTCTATCTGTTTTACAATGTTTTAATCAAACTTTTACTAACATTTTTGCCGCTTTCATCACCACTAAAGTCCGGATGCCTTGCTTTCTTTGCACTTTTGAAGCATTTACCACTATGAGTATAATGTATTTCATTTTGTTCCCAAAGATAATTATGGCTTAATTTCAGAGCTTGTGAGTAAATTAATATCTGCAGTCTCCAGAGTCGTTTGCCTTGTCAATTTATTTAAATAGCTTGTAATTTCACTTTCCTTCATTTGAAATTGGCTTCCAAATAGTGCAACACATTAAAAAGGTGGGGGGGGGGGGGGGGGGGTAGAATAGTTACTGAGGGCAACACCAAGGTGTCACATGCCAAATTGGGAATGTTCGCATCCGTCTTGGGCTTGGAGACACTATTTTTCGGTGGTGTGCAGTGTTTATTCGCCTTTTTTTGGTCTTCAAGCGTCGATCTTATCACTTGCTTTCATTTTCTTCCCAAAGTTGTGAAGATATGATATGATACTCAACAGCATACAATCTTAGCGACATGTGGATAATATGCTAAGACACCAGGGCTCTGTTAGCTCTGTTTCTTTATCCTCTTGTATACAAAAGTGGTATAGGTATATTAAAATTACTGAGCTCGTTTGTATTGACTAAAGTTGAACTCATTTCCTCTTGATTTAATGACTAATGCTTGTTTGTACCTCTTACTTTGCGCTATTATAGGGACTAATTGTACTTAACCTAATTATCATATTGACGCTGATCGTACTCCCACCATTAATTTTATATGATTTACATCAATACTTTATCTACCGAGTCTAGATAAATAAGAAAAGTTATCGACTGGTAGTAGCTATTTTGTTTATTATATAGAGTATATGTTTTATGAAAACGTACCAAAAGCGCTTGTGACGCAGCAGTCAACATGCCTGTCTGCCAAGTCCGAAGTAGAAGCGTTCAATGCCTATGTCTCAGCAGGTCTTACCAGTGACCGTCATACCCTAAATATGATGGTATTGAGATGACTAAATTATCAGCCTCGTTATTAAAAGACGAGAGAGAGAGAGCGCGGATGAATACACCTACTTAAGCTAGTTGTAGTTAGGTTTGTTTATATTGTGGGGTGTGCGTTTTGTGATATATTCCCTTGTACCTAAATTTAAGACATAACACAAAATCTCATTAGTTCGTAGAACCATAGCGAATTTATTTATTAACACTTCGTTCATTTGCAGCAATCTCCACCCACATCAGCTGGGCGTGATGACTTAAGGGAGCGACAAAAATTGAGTTTTTCTTTTAGAGGTGTTCATAGTCTATATCGTAGAAGTTAACATGCACCATATACAAGTCTATGAAATTTTGATTTCTAGTATTTGATTCTTCTTTTTCAAAACATCGGTGAATTGGTCGAATTGTCGTTTGGCAGTGGCAATTAAAAATGGACAATCGGTTTATCGCAAGAGAACTTTAGTCAAAGAAGGATGAATTACAGCAGATGTGCTCAGTTTGCAAACATTTGCGTCTGAAAGTGATTTCTTACAAAGAAATTTGAACTAGCGTGTAGTTATAATGACGCTAGAATAAGAAAAATTACAATAAAAACCAAAATTTTGCTCATAAATTGTCGAGTTGGCAAATTCGGACCAAGTTCGTAGTAAATATTAGGACACTCATATAATAATGACTAATCCATTTCATTGACATTATTCGTATAATAAATACTATTAGGATTTGATGATGTAGTCTCTAATATTGCCTTTACTGATGCATTAAGAGTAAATTCTGGAGACTTCATCTATGAGAAAGGAATCTCTATAACTGGACTTGTAACTCCCATCTCCCTTATTATAATGGGGAATTGGACAATAAACCATCATTCTTAATGATCTTTTTGAATTCACTTTCAGTTTTTTGGATTTTTCATTCAAAATTCTATTTCAGAGCCGTTGAGCTTTGCATTCTTTTTTGACTTTCAGTCAACCATGTTTGGTCGATGAAGGCGTAATTTCAGGTGTTCACTTCCACGTTGGTGACGTGGCGATCATTTTTAAGTCGTGGCCTTTTTATAAGTAGACGCTGTCAATCATGTAATTTGGTTTAAAATGAATGCATTTGTAACTCAATGGTGGTCATTTTCGTCCTGTTACTGTGCTAGTATTGAACTTAGAGCTTGTCTGTTTATCATTAATAGTCTGTGGGGAAAAGTATTCGTGAAACGTAATCATAGAGCCTAATGTTCCAATTGTTTTCTAAGCTCGATCGTAATTCTTGAAAATTATTTACACTCAAATCGCCTTGTCTCAAATTAATTTTATCATGTTCCCATTTATCGAAAGCTCTGAAACCATAGCAGAATTGGCGTTTTATTATCTAGTGCTATGATTATATATCAAAACTTTCTGCAGTTATTTATATAGTAATTTGCTTAGCAATAAGAAATTCAATTCTTTAAGTCCTCATTTTATTATTTATTTCCTTTGTACTTGACTACTTTTCATTCCAACTTCTCCCATTTTTAGAGATATTAAACCAGACAATTTTCTCATGGGCCTTGGTAAACGTGGCAATTGTGTCTACTTCATTGATTTCGGATTAGCTAAACGATATCGCGACCCACGGACTCATTTGCATATTCCCTATCGGGAAAACAAGAATCTGACTGGGACGGCGCGTTATGCCAGTGTTAATACACATCTTGGAATTGGTACGTTTACACCCATTATATCACTTATTTAATAATTTGATTAAGTTGGTAGCCTTTCTACTGTCTGCAGCTCGTTATTTTTGTGCTCGGGGAACATAATACTTTTTTGTTTTCAAGATTAGTGCCCATTGCATACTTATATTTGCCAAGGGTGTTTAAATCTACTGAACTTTTCATTTTACCTCTTACTTCTTTCTTGTGGTGACCTGGCGTAAAACATTACGTTTTTTATTAGCAGTATTAGTACTCAAAATTGGGCAAAATTTTGATTTGAAATAATCATTACCATTAGCCCCATTTAATCTAAACCTGGTTGGTTCTAAGGTTTGTGCATTTCGAATTATGAAATTCGGATATCTTGGTGCTGAAACCAACAGTAACATTTGCATAGTCCATATTGTGATCACCGTCGCTATGTCCACATGTTCTTTATGCTTAGAGTGCTGTAGATATTTGTTCCTAAGAATGAAAGTTTACATCTCCGTGATCTCGAGTTGTTTGAACCAATTCGTATTCATCTTAGAGAGAGAGAGAGTGATCAATTTTTGGTGATTTTAACTTGGTGGAGCCAATTAGAGTTCTTCCAGTGTGATACTTTCGGTTACTTCTATCGCATTTCCTTTTCTCTGTTTTTATTTTTGATAAACATAAAGTTTTTATACATTCTTGTTGTATTTGTAATGTGATCGATTTTTAGAGTAGTTTATTTAATCCAATATTACGACATATGTCATGTTCACGACTTATTCTGGGATCAAGAGATATACCCGCCTCGTCTGTCCTAACTCCCGTAGTCCTGCTAACCCATACCCTTTAGAGCTGCATGTGGTTGACACTTATTACCTTGAGAAAAAGTTAACTTTCTTATACTATTAGGGCTACTTAAATATAATTGGACTATCCTTACAAGAAGCTGATGCTTTAATCGATTACATGTCATTTTATTAAGAAATGGCATACATTACACTATTTGGACAGACTATTACTGAGAACAAGTATTTTTGGAAATTCTTACCTGTTACCCGTGAAGATTGTGTACTTGAGACCCCTTGAGCAGAGACGCGCTGGATTTGTTGTTAATACTGAGGATACCATTCTTTTATTTAGTTCACGACCTCCCTAGTCTTTCTTAAAGCAACGGAAATGAGGTACTGGAAGACGGTACGTTTAGCCTTAGAAGTAGTGATGGTGTAGATGCATTACTTGGCAGTCCACATACCTTCGCGTATAGTTGGCGGCTTCATGCTTTTTTTGCTTTAGAATCCCCTTGAGCAGATTTGAATTCGCTCTTTTCTTTACCGCTTCTGTCTGCTCTGCAAACAATTTCTAAAACTATCGTTTAATTGTTATTCCATTATGATTATGTATTACCTTGTAATTTTTTAACATACTCTAACAGTATGGTCTAGTAATCTGATAGGAATAAAGTAAAATATTATTCCTCAAGCGAAATTCGTGCTTAGTCATGCTTCATCTATCTTTTAGCCACCTATTGGTTTTTTATCACCCGAAATTTGATTGATAAAAACTTTATATGCGATATCAATCTATTCTATCCTCATTATTTGCCCAATTTAATATCATTCTCACTTTATAGGTCACCAAAATGTCTGTTCTACTGTCTGAATGGGTCTTTATATATATATATATATATGCACTTATCTTCTTCCCTCACTGTCATTAATCAACCTGTATAAGAGAGGGAAGGATGTGATTGGAAGTGCCCACGCCCATAAACATCCATGTCTTGCGTTCTGCCGTATTTATCCCGTGAGAGAGCTGCAAACGAGCAAAGCAGGCATGCAAGCCACTTTGCCTACGCGAACGCCTAAAAATACACAGATGCTGTTTGCGGCAACGATTGCACCGACCGAACTCGTTTTAATGCCACACTTTGTGCTTAAATTTTCTCTTTTCACTTATTAACTGGCTAAGGCAGTTAACACCAAATCTGCAGTCGAGAAAGTTAATTTGCAGGTCATGAAGCTACAAGAAAATGCAGCTCTGTTCTCCCAAAAATTTAAACTCCCAGGGTCATTTATAATAGCTTCTTTTCAAATACTAATTTTGGACACGGTGGTAACTTTCTATAGCCTTCATGTCGAGATAAATTCCAATCAGACAAACTTAATCAATGTAAATGGCATACTCTATCGAATATTTAATCTGCCTCAATTGTCTTTTTCCACTTGGACGTTAACTGCTGCGTTGATTGTAGCCACTGTTTATGCCTACTGTTTCACAATTCATAGTAAAGTTGCAAAAAAACAGTCGTGAGAGGAACGGCAAGAAAAACGAACATTTAAACGGTTAGTGTAAATGATTGCGGACGTATTGATTAGGTCATAACATAGCTATTACAAAAGTTTTCATCTGGTTTAGTCGTTGTCGCTTGTTTTTTTTCTACATGTATTTACTTTTGCTTGTCTGGGTCACTGATGTGAGTAATTGCCCTCTAAGAATTTAGTCAAAAGTTGCTCACAGCGTCCTTATAGTGCCATAGATGTATAAAGTAGCCATTCTTTTCGAGAATAGCTATACCTGTGATTGAATCACCTATAATAAGCAAATAGGGAATATCTCTTAGTCTCTCTGTTGAATAAAGGATATACTGGTGAGCTTTAAGTCGTACGATTCTTACTAAGAGAAAATATCAAGATTACCATTGGTATTAAAGACGGAATATTTCGAACGACTGCTTCCCTAGTGATTCAAAATTAATTTTTCTTTCGAATTCCTTCGTTTTTTTTCTGGAACAGTATCTGAGACGATAAAAATTTCGAAATAATTGGTGGAAGAGTGGGTTGATTGAAGTACCATTTCTATGTTTATTTAAAGCAAAGAAATTAACTTAGTCCCATAATCACTAATTTTATAAGGGGGACTTTTGTCCTCTTTTATTGCGTAGCTGAGACAGATTGCAAATATGAGTGCAATTTTTCGAGTGGCTATCGATGTCAAAGTGTTATGAGTCGTAGAGTAGTAACGAGCAGGCAGATATGACAAAGTCAAGGTGAACTATTCGTACATTCTTCGCATTTCCCACTTTATTCAGTTATTACATTGTGTTTGATTCGTCCAAGATACTTCCTAACTACCCACTTATTCTTGACGCATTTTCGTTTTTTTTCGGGGTTGGGACCTTAATTTCACCTTTGTCAAGATTCCCTACCCATGATCTATTCCAATTGATCAGGAGGTCAGATTACTGGTCCTAAGCTCCTTAGTCTTCTTTCAATTATGAAGATATTATTTTTCTGTGGGATGGAAATGAAATACGTCAACAGAGTTCAAAAATTTGGGGTAGTGGGGTGGGGGGGGGGGGTTTAGGTGGAATGTGGCAACATCAAGGTTTCAAAGGGCCTTCATTTTGTTTTAGATTGCTTTTGTATTTCATACTAAATGTGCAGTACATTCGAATATGTTAGCGTTTTATTCGTCTCCAGTTAGCAGCAAGTGCGTTTTTAATGCTATCTAGTGCTTATTGGTAGCTATTTAAATAAATTTTGTGAAATTCATTAATTTGCTTTCATTGAATATGAATGATTATTTCTATTGGGGATATCAATAAGAAATTGCAAATTTTAAAAACGGCATAATATGCTATTTGGAAATATTATTTAATATTTTTGTTACTTAAATCGAATGTTCATTCCAATGTCGTGAAAATGTGGTTGTTTTTTTTTGGGGGGGGGGGGGGGGGGTCTGTCGAATTTGAAGGAATTGATAGAGCCTCCCACTTGCCAAACTTTTTTGAGGGGTCATTTTCGCCTTGTAATGCCGGGACCTGACATTGTGATGGCGAAGTGTTATCTCCTTTATGTTAAATAAATAATAGCGTTTATTTTTTAAATTTCGGCTTAGTCTTCCCAATTGTTGAAAATTTATTTATTTCAAATGGCAGGCGTTGTGATAGGTATCATTAGCCCTTTAGTTGACTTCGGGCTTCACAGAAAGGAAGAGGAACATCAAAGTGGCAAAACGTCGAGAGGGGACAGAATAATGATTCGCAGACGTAAAAGAGAGAGACAGCCACAAAGGTAGAAAAAAGGTGAGGTGAGTACTATGGAAGTAGTCGAATATGACATACAGTGGGGTAATGGTATTTTGAAGTCAGAAGTCAACTGCCGGTTAATAGACTTTTTTGCCGTATAAGTTTACGTTGCCCAGGGAGCACCACGCGGAGGTAAGTCTATCGCACACTCCTAAAAAAAATAAACTTTGATAATATTTATTTCTCCCCGCTTTTTCAATCTATATTGTGCCAGAAAAGTTGATGCCGCGGCACCTATTCAGTTTACCGATGTGCTTCAAGTGAAAATACGCGACACGTCTCGGATATACGTGTTTAGGCTGTATTTCTCAGATATTTAACCAAGGTCCCTATTCAGTCAGCGATTTTATTACCACTTTATGGAAACTTGGGCATCACTCTGATTTCGGGGCATTATTTAAATTTCTATTTCCAAATTGAAATCTCATCAACCGAAATTGATATCGGCTTAAGTGGTTGTGCAGGCGTTCAAGTCTTGATGGAAGTGGCATAAAATGTCTGTTTGACGTGTTCTTTGTGCCTCAGGATCGTACGTCCCCCCCCCTCCCCAAACAATAAAGTAAAATTTTTTTCTCATAAATAATTCCATACAATTTTTACTAAAAAATCGACCGATTTGTATTCTTCACTGTGTTTGCACGCAAACTTCTTTTCTTATGTGTAGAAATTTGGTTATCCTGTCTAAATATTGAGTGATAGTTTGTCCAAATTGCTTTTTGCATACACTTGTATTCGTGCTATTCAGTACGAAGTGGGTGCTGGCTTATCTCGGGAAATCTGCTCTAATTTCACAACTACATGGTCTTTGCTTGTGCAAGTTGTTTTGAGTACTTTTAATCTCAATTGCTTACTTAATTGATGGTGTATGGATGGTGGCAAACTGGTTCATTTTTGTTATTTTTGTCTCATATTAATCTCTGACTGAAAACCTGCTTTGTTTTATGTAATTATCCGCATTAATTGATTTTGACCGAGCAATTATTACAATTGAATCCTAATTATTGCAAGTACCTTATTCGTTGTGCTTGTTAAGTCTGATTTATTACTTCCATCAACTTAAGCCTAACCCAGTACTGAGGTGGGTAATGGTGTGAGAGTTTCAAGTTCACATTTACTAGGTAAAGCTCATTTCTGATTTCACGTTTTGTTCACTGATTTCTTGATATTTTTCTTGTTTCAGCATAGTGCCTTCGATACGGGCGTTCTATTCTACTCCTATTTTAATGTCCACGTCATGTACTTTGTCCTGTCTAGTCTCGGTATTGGTTAAGAAATGATTCATACTATATCCTCTTCCTTATGTGTTTTGTACCATTTTGCTCTGAAATAGCAGAAATGAAGACTACTTTGCTAAAGGTTACACAGTTTAGTCTCTATCCTTTATTATCGCATTAGGATAAGTTAATTCCTTCTAGTGAATTTTTCCCCTTAAAGCAAAATAGTTCTAATTTTAGCGTAGTGATTTGTTTATTCTAAGGTCGATTATTCTTTCCGCTACCCATTCCCCTCTATCTGAAATGTAAATTCAAAATATAAGTTCAGTAAAATCCCATTGAAAGGTCGGGACAATGTCCCCGAATTTATAACCCAATGCAAACTCCTCTCACCTCCCTCCCTCCACCATATCCATGGGTTCTCTCAAATGGCACCCAGTAGAGTTCATTCCTTACCTAACTATTAAAGACCCTAATAATTTGATGGGCGGGACCGATAACCAGAATCAACTTTCCGGTTAATAGGCCTTAAACAACACACGTTAAATATCAAGTGTAGGTTCAATTTTTTTATTTTGTATTATCAAAGTTGTTGAAATTAAAAGCTAGTCTCCATAACCCCCCCCCCCCCCAACCAATATTATTGAGGTGAGTGGTTGTGTCAAGTTTTATTGCTGATTTAAATGCATTGCTTGTTCTAATCTTATCCATTATTCAAGAATGAAATGGGTCCATTCATTGATTCCGTCTCCGATATTTTTACCATCAAGAGGTACATGTTGTGCATCGATGGGGTATTAATTCATCAATCAGGAGGTGGTGTAACGGAAGGCGAGTTTCATGCCTGCCAGGCTGCAAGGTACTACTATCCCTTTACCCCAAGCGAGCTTGTTCTTGAATGGTACTAACTTTAAATCAAGCCGAGTGTTGTCCACTGGTTGCAGGTTTTTTGTTTTGTATTTAATAGAAACACAATTGCAAGCCTCCTTTAATTCATTTGGGTTTATGTTTGCATAAATTTGTGCAAGGGCGGAGGTGATTTTTTTTCGTGGAATTAGGAGATTGGGATCGTTCATTATTAATCTTAAATAAATTAATATTCGCACGTAATTTCGCTATTTTTTTGGGCTCCGTATTTTTCGCCTTTAGCATTTCCCCCGAAAGTCCCGCTTTAAGCATAGCTTTCCGCTCTATTGCTGTCTAAACTCTCCTAACCTTACAGTTGATTCTGCCTTTTGTTGTCACCTGAAATGCTTCGTCTACCACTTACAAATTTTTCCGTAGCATATTAATTTCTTTCTAAACTAGGATTTCACAATTCCATTTTCTGCTCAAATACTACTGAATTTGGTCCTTTTATGACCTTGTAATGTGGGATGGACTTGGTTGGTTTTTTTGCTCGAACTTGCTATTTTAACCCAATACCGTAGTGGAATAATTAGCATTAGATAGGCAAACAAGCCAGGGTTCCAGAAGAGTCAATTTACTGCCACTATAGTGTGGAATATTTCCCCCCCCCCACTTCTGACTAGTGGAACTAGTTCATAATTTAGAGTTAGCCGTTGATAATCGGCCTTTGGTTACGCGTGTGATGACGTTGATGATGCTGTCGCTACATCTCTGCAAGTGCTACCCGTTGGCTTGTTTGAATGACTCATCAATATTTCGCCTCTTGCATCGGCTTGCCTAGCCGCCCAAGGGTTGTCGGAACAAAACTTCACGCACCCACACATACAAACAGCTTCACCACTTCTTTTGCATATATCCTGCTTTAGAGGAGGGTAGCAGCTGGGTGTCTTCAGCTGTTCCACCTTGTAATTTCTATCAATCTTTACTCTATGGCAACACAGTTTTGTGATTGATGACTGCCTTCAACACCTTCCTAATTCATTACTCTCTATTTAAGCCATCTGCTGACTAAGTATTTTCTACTATTTCAGGGTCCTATCCCTATTGAGAAGGTACTACAGAGGAAGATGCTTTTGGGAGTCTGTTGTACATACTTTTAGCACATTTCATGAACAAATATTAATTTGTTAGAACATACATGATGTCTTGAGTTTAAGACGGCCTTTGATTGGGGAAATTATCGCAATTAAACTTCACTTCTTAAGGTGCTGAAGTTAATGACTTCCTGTTTGCTGGATGTCGTTTTTTAAATGTGTTTGCATATTTATTTTTAAGAATTCTCACTTTTCGTGATTCCCGTTGATGATAAGCACCGTTTTTCCACAAGTCTGTGCTGTTATAGTTGTCATGTGGCGTTTATCATTTGTGACTCATTTGATTAGCAAAGAACACCAGGTAGACAATACTTGCGTATTTTGATTTGATTTACTCATACCAAGCCCCTTACTCGTGTTTTCTTACTACCCTTTCTGTCTTATTTCAATGCACTCGTGCTTGCAATTCACATCTTCTAAAAGTGGTTCGGCTGTCAGGGTCGTCAGAATTTTAGCTCAAGCATTCTCTTTATCACAGGTCTTAACGCGCAATCCTTGTTTGTGTTGGGCTGTGTTTGCGTTAATGTAACCTTTGCTAGTGTAGACACATTTTAATTCCTATTGTATTGTAATATAACTGGACCCGAAAGATTGTTCACGGATTGGTTTTCAAATGCCGGTTGGAACTTATCATTAAGTTTCCCTAATGGACATGTTTTATTTGAACCAAACGCATATTGCGTGTCAAGAGTCGAAGAGTTCATTGTATTTTCCTGGGAGATATGCGCATTACCAGAGCTAACAGGCCCATTTCCTGTTTCATTTTCCAACATTTCGGGTGGAGAAGCAACATGGATACATTCCGGTGAGATGTCTATTTCCTATCACTATATCGCATTCAACCGGTATAGATTTTTCTGCTCAAGTGTATAGTTATTGAGTTTAGCTTCGCAGATGAGCGCTTTACACATTAATGCTCCTATTATTACCATTATTATTGGCTATGCATCAAACTACTGTGTGACACTTGAATAAAACCGATCTTGATTTCTTAGTAGCTAGTCTGGTTCCGGAACTAGAATTGTCAGACACCACTTTATAACTGCAATCTATAATTTATTTTCATTTAGTCATTCCTCTCCTCTTCCACGCCAGTGCAAAATGTCATTTTCCGACAAAGTGCAGTAAATCAGTGGTGTGATTGTGTCCAAATTATGACATTCAGAGTGCGTCTTGCAACTAGAACACTCTCCAGTCGTATCGTGCTATTATTTTCATTTTACTCTGTTAACAATATTCATCCGGTAGAGCTTTTGTGTCTGATATTTGATGTTTGTCATTATTTTTAAGTGGTTTCTGAGCTTTTTATGCCTGTGCTGGTTGTTCTGGTATAATCTGAACGTAATTGCCCTTAACAAATCTCCAATTTGGAATATGCCATACGAATGCAAAATGTCGCTTTATCTTTTCAACTAGTATTTTTTGATATTTCTCAATACTCAATAACTACTCAGAATAGATTGATTACTTAAGCATAGGTGACCATTACGTTACATTTATTTAACCGTTAGCCACCTTACTTCGAATGACTCTATGCAAGTAAAATTTGACTATTGAAGGCCAGTAGGACGTTTGATGACGTGCGGTTACCCAAGCAGAATTCACAAAACTGACTAAAATTAATTTCTCAGGCGCTAAAAGCGTCACAACCCCATTATTGGTAGCGCCCACAATACTTGGGTAGAAGCCGCTATTCAGTCGCTTCTTTCACCAAACAGATTTAAGTAGGACGCTTGATCACTAACACCACTAGATGCGTTTGGTGTCCATCTCTTGACCTCTTAATTGGCAGATGTACTTACTAGGGCGTTAGAATTACAGGTTATTACAGGTCGTTCCCTCGACTGGACACTTGCAATAGGAAAGTCTTCATTTTCTCGATTAGACTAATCAAGTCTGTTATTTTTCTTACTACACTCATTTAGAACAATCGCGTCGAGATGATATGGAATCCCTTGGTTACGTCCTCATGTACTTCCTTCGCGGATCATTACCGTGGCAAGGTCTAAAATCAGTCAATAAACGTCAGAAATACGAACGTATTTGTGAAAAAAAGATGGAAACCTCTGTCGAGGCTCTTTGTGACGGCCATCCCTGTAAGTCGTGTACTTATGTCTATTCCAGTAGCATGCCACTTCGGCTTGCAAAATTTCATTTTGTCATGAGTGCTCATATATCCCTGTTACGAATTTGCACTTACTCGCTCTACTGACCAAAATTAAGTAGAATTGCTTGCTTATATTTTCAGCTGAAATGGCAGAATATTTGAATTACTGTCGAGGGCTAAACTTTGAGGCAAAGCCTGATTACTCACATTTGCGTCGCTTATTAAGAGCACTTTTCAAAAAGAACCACTTCACACACGACATTGTATTTGATTGGAATCTCCTTCAAATATCTGGAAATGAAGCAGGGGGTGCTGCTGCTAGTCAGGCGGTTGCAACTGGTAATGGAACCACTGGTCTTGAAAGCGGAGTCCAGCAGATGAAAATTTCTGCAGGCAACGGACATCATCTTAGCAATACAAAGGATGATGAAAAGACAGGTTTGTTTCTAATTATATTTTAGTGACGTCTTGAAAAATATTCTAACTCATTTTCTTTGCAGACCAGTCACAAAATCAAATGCTGGGGATTAAATTCGGACAACCAGCCGTGGCTAATATTCAACCCCCTACACAGCAAGTAAAACTTTATACACACATCCTGGCGCAACAGCAGAAAGCTCAACAGGCCCAGCAACGAAGATTGGTTACCCATCCGGGACAGCCTAGTGGCGCGGTGCTCTCCTATCTGCGATCAATGAAGACTCCTGGTCCCGTTGCTGCCGATTCCTCGATGCCACAGCAACAAGTTATATCTCAATGTAATTCTTTTGACTAGTATAAATGTATTTATTCTTTGCGTTTCTATTTTTCCCATGAAATAAACTATAAAATGACAGTTTATACTTTATCTCAAAGTAATTTTTTTGTAGCAGAGTTGTTAAATGTGCGAAGTTAGGGATACGGTTGATTAGAATCACGCATATGCTTCTCGAATTGAATATTCCTCAGTAAGCCTTAGACTGTCCTAAATTTCCCTCTTGAATTTGAAGCGTTTGTTGGGAGTACTAGTAATTAAATACTGTAGAACCCTATTTCACAGTCGAGTTAAATAATTCAATATCAGATTTCATTCCATTTCATTTCCTCTACCTTCTTCTGAATTCTCTGCCAATCAATAAAGCATTACAATGCATTTTCGTCACATCACGTTCTGTAATGTAATAAATATTATTTCAAGGAGATGAGGTTCTAATGAGGTATAAAACGTCTATCTGGCAGAGGTGGATGATCTTTGACCGTTAATTTATTGTTGTGTTTGGTTTATAGTGTTACGGCCTTGCCAATTTTTATCTTCCCCCCTTACTTTAACTAACTCCGAATGACTTCTATGATTTACTGACCTACTTTCCGTTCCAGCTTCCCCCTGGAATGCCAACAATTCAGCCGTAGCACCGATGTGTTCGGGTCCTTCAATTCTTCCCACACCTGATCCCGGGCAACTCTGCTCCCCCGGCCCACCTCCACAGTATCCCGATCGGAGCATGGCTGGTCCTGGTGAATTTCCCACTTTACCTGGCGATTACATCAACCTTTTTGCAGCTGCAGTTTTGGCCCCATCGCGGCAGAAACAACAACAGCACCAATTTGCTGTCCTTGCGGCGCAACAACAAGCCGCCGCTGTCCAGCAAGCTGTCCAACAAGAGCAGTGGGCTGCTGCAGCCCATGGGTTTGGTGGTAGTGGTGCTGTTGCTGGCGCTCTCTGGCCCCCCCACCAACAAGCTGCCGCTGTAGCGGGAATGTCTCTTCAACAGACTCCTGTTGCCGCTGCGCCATCCCCACAGAATAATGCTGCTGCTACTTCTGGAAATGTCGGTGATCCCTCAGCACTGTATCGTCCAGGTTGTCTCCATTGAGTGAGAGAGATGGAGGTAGTGGGAGGAGTACTGTTTTGCTGCAAAAGCCTCCCACTTGGGTTCTCTTTCTAACTATCTCATTCAGACTTTAAATTACTACTACTTCTACCACACTAACTGACTAGCTCGCTCCGTTTGGTTTTGTAAATAGAAATACACATACATGCACCCTGCTTCAAGTTTAACTCACTCTATAATTGTATGAAATGAAGGCGTTCGAATGTGTTTAGCCTGCTTTTCCTACTCCCCTCCC